TTAGAAAAAAAATCACAAAAATCGTCATATCTCGTTAACTAAAAAGATTCGGGTATTCATAATTGCAAGCCAAATTTGCAACTCCCCTGATAGCATACCATTAATGGGTTGCTAATTTTAAACTCGGTGAAGTAAACACTGAATTCAAAAACGTGAAAAAATACTTTCGTTAAATATGCAAAAGTAATACGTTCAAACATCCGGAGTAAAACCGCCTGCACCATTAGAAACACTACAAAGAGCTTGGGAACTGCTACACAGAATCCACGCTTTCAAAAAAGTCCTTTCTGCGGAACTATGCAGACAAAAATAAGCAGACAGATAATAATCTAATTTAGCGAAAAATTTATATTTGCAAGAAAAACAGGTCTCAACTCCCGGACTTAGTCGTGTCAATCATTGAGATTACAGCAACTTGGAAAAAAGCAAAACCATTAGGCTAGGGGAACTAAGCCGACAAAAAAAGACGGACGATAGTCCGAAAAAGCACAAAAATCTGTTTGCAAAAAAGGGCCAAACCGGATTCGAACAGTTAATCTTTGCCGTTTCAAGCTGTTGTTTTACCTATACGCCAGATGCGCCGGATGATTGATTGGATTTGAATTTATAACACAGAGGCGAAGTTGCACTTCGCATGCACAAGCAAAAATATGACAGACAACGCTACTGGGAAAACTGAATGAGTAAAACTTCGAGTCTACAAAATTTCTTAAGTGACGCAGGGAAATAATGAGTCTACATAATTGCTAATTCAGGCAAGTCAAAAATCACGCATTAACAGTACCAGTCGATTGGAAAAAAAGAAATTCGCCAACTAACATGCCTGAATTTAAAGAGCGGACGCATTTTAACTAGTACACGAAAAAGCTGATTTAATATCCGACCCTGTCCTGGCGCGAACTTTCTTATTTTGTCGCGGGTCTCCTTCCCTACCTCTACGCTACAGATTCATGATACCCTGAAGCTAAAGTGGTATTTATAATATAATAGTCTGTATTAATATCCTTACCATTGGCTGTACTTAATAGCTGGTTATTGATCAAAAGGAACACTTTCAAAATGAACACATTTAGTCGCAACAATTTTTGCGACTTACGTTGGAAAAAAGATAATTCATACTATAACACAAGCGTTGCTTTTGTAATTTATAAGCCAAAATAAAGCCAAAAAAACCTGAGCAAGAAACCTTTCATGACAAAAAAATTCAAAAAATAACTTAAATAAAAAATTTTAAATACCTTTTCCCTTCAGAGCGCACACACGAGCATAAACATTTTTTCGGACGTAACGACGCAAGGAGAGGCCAGTAAGTCGAAATTATTTATGCCGAAATTTATTAAGCCGATAAAAAGACTAAACAAAAGAAAAAAAATGAATTTTAACAAATCGAGCTGGTAAAATTACAACCAATGTGAAAAGCAAACTTCAATTCCGCCGGATTTTTAAAATCCTAGTGAAAACCACTGCAGTGAAAACTGTTTACAGCTAAAAAAAATGAGCTAAAAAATGAGATTGCTAAATGAGGCAACTAAGCCGACAAAATATAAGCAGACAATTAATAGGCCGAATTATTTATGAACTGGAACATTTAACGTTTGAAACAAAACTGGTACTAGTCAGGTTCGAACTCAGGACCTTTGCCGTCCTAGGCGTATTTGTTACCACCAGGATAAATGTGCAAGAGACACTACAAAGTTTGAATTCATTATGAACCAAGGTACCACCAGGAGTCTAATGAGTCGTGTGCACTTAAGTGTTTACGGGAAAAAAGTCTAGTACCCGATTGCAATACCCTTGCTCAAAAATGTTGTCGACTTTTTTTTAGGTCGACCAAACTGATTTTCCGAGTTCTCCCAAACCATTAAAAAGGCCCCGTTTTGGTCAATTTTTGGCAAATATTTGAAAAAAAAAACAGGCAAAAAAAGGCGTTTTTAGGTACTTTTTGAAAAGTGTTGACCGAAAAATCGCGCTTTTTCGGCGCGCGCTCCCCCCTCAAAATTAGTATATATTGGCGCCCAAAGCGACTTTAGAAAAACTTTAGGGTCCGTCACCAAATATGGATATCTCAAAATAGTACAAGGGGGGACATCTCAAAATAGATAGTTCAAAGGGGGACAAAGCTTATTGCTTTATAGAAACAATTATCCTTGCTCTCGCAAAAGAAACAACAATCCACTTTTAAGCTCCATGTATCCCAACATGAATTATTTATGCAATAAAACTGGAAAATCATTGCAAATTATTTAACAAAAACAAAAGTTTTTATATCAAAAAAGTTTTTTTTTTCATCCAGGGGCGACATTGCACTCAATAAACACAAGCAAAACACCAAAAAGTAGCTAACATTACAAAATGATAGAAAACACAGAAAAAATACCTTGAAAGAAAATCAAGTTCAAACACTTAAGTAACGAAAACTACAAATTGAGTCTCGAGAAGTAGAGAGGACAGTTAGCACTTCCAAGCTCAAATTGCAAAGACTATTTGAACGGAGAAGCGAAGCAGAGCTTACCGCCATATACAATGCAACACACAATAATACAGAAGCTAGGCGGCACAGATTGTGACGAACGCCGCTGAGTTGCAAGAACATAAAAAACGACAAAACCGCAATAAAAATTTTTGGTTCCCCTGAGTGAAATTGAATTTAAAAAAACTCGAGTTTCCCTGAAGTGAAATGTCAAGAAACACAGATGCCAGTGTTGAAAAACTCATTGAAACAAAATTTATCGCGGAGTAACTAAGCAGACCATACTTTGGTAGAGAGGAAAAAGTGATCACAAGTAATTTTGAGGTGTAAAGTTTGTTGAAACTTTTTTTTATCTCCCTCCAAGCAAAAACAAAGCAGAAGACATTTTTTGCTATTCAAGCGACGTATTATGAGTCCAAAAAAAACCAATTTAACTCAAGTTGAAACCATTCAAGCCGCAAAAACCTATAAAATAAGCTTAAATCGAAATAACACAAAATTGTAGGTGCGCAATTTCCACGAGAAAAATGAAAATGAACTTCATTTATAGTATAAATTGCTTAAATAAGAGGCAGGTCAAAACTTTGGAGAGTAAGCCGATGACAATTAGCAGACAAGTAGTCCGCTAATTCGGTTTTTCCAATGGCAAATTATTCAATTCAGTAAAAAATTTGACTCTCGACAGGAAACGTACCCAGCACCTTTCTCCTCCCAAGCAAGGGCGCTACCTCTAGACTAAATGCTCAAGAAACGCCATTTCATTTGAAATTGTCACGCAGCGCATCAATCTCGTGCGATTTCGTCAGCAAAATTGATTACGGGAAAAATTTCTTCTACCAATCACAATACCCTTGCTATTTAAGAGTAACTAATATGTTCGCATTAAAGCGTTGAACATCAGATAATATAGCCAACAGACAGTTGGAAAAAACTCATTTATCCTCACAGAGAAAGCGAAAAGGGAGGTTTCGTGCAAAAGCTCTTTGCTGTGATAAACTTATTAAATTGTTTCAGAAGTCGAAATGGAAAGTAACATGGTTCATGATGTAGGTGAACAAGAAGCTTCTGCCAGCAATATTAGTTCAAACGAAACTATTGATTATCCGCAGCTTAGGCATCAAGATGAAACTCCCATCGCTCCGAAAGACAAAAAGTCGAAAAGATCTTGTTCTGAGTTGAGCCCCATATTAGACGAAATTGAAGTAACATCGCTGGTCAGAGATCTGAAAATTTCAGTCAAACAAACTCTAGCTTCGCAAATTGCAACAATGATGAATGACATAAGAACGACACCCTAAAAACTGTTCACGAAGCTATAGCCCATGAAATGCAATTGCTACAGAAGCAAATACTCGATGAAGCAAATGAAAACATGGGCTATCAGGGACGACATGGTGACCTTAAAGCTCGTAGTGAAGCTGAGCTAATCGAAAGATAAAACCGCAGAGACAACGTCAGAATAATTGGAATTGCTGAAAACTCAAATGTCGATGAAAACGGAAGAAGAATGTATGAAAGCAATGAAGAAATCATTGAGAAAGTCGCCAAAATAGCCACCGCAAAAGGAGCAAATGTTTCGGAATCTGATATTTCAATTGCCCACCCACTTCCTACGAGAAAACATCATCCACGAACTATGATCGTTCGCAAGAAGAATCGGCAAAGTAGATCTCTTAGTAAGGAAAAAGAAGAAATTTTTACAGTCTTCCACGATAAGAGACATAAAAGTATTTGAGGATTTGACTGCACCAAGAGTCAAGTTCCTTAATTTGATGAAAAAAGATGCCCGAATACAAAATTTATCGCGGAGTAACTAAGCAGACCATACTTTGGTAGAGAGGAAAAAGTGATCACAAGTAATTTTGAGGTGTAAAGTTTGTTCAAACTTTTTTTTATCTCCCTCCAAGCAAAAACAAAGCAGAAGACATTTTTTGCTATTCAAGCGACGTATTATGAGTCCAAAAAAAACCAATTTAACTCAAGTTGAAACCATTCAAGCCGCAAAAACCTATAAAATAAGCTTAAATCGAAATAACACAAAATTGTAGGTGCGCAATTTCCACGAGAAAAATGAAAATGAACTTCATTTATAGTATAAATTGCTTAAATAAGAGGCGGGTCAAAACTTTGGAGAGTTAGCCGATGACAATTAGCAGACAAGTAGTCCGCTAATTCGGTTTTTCCAATGGCAAATTATTCAATTCAGTAAAAAATTTGACTCTCGACAGAAACGTACCCAGCACCTTTCTCCTCCCAAGCAAGGGCGCTACCTCTAGACTAAATGCTCAAGAAACGCCATTTCATTTGAAATTGTCACGCAGCGCATCAATCTCGTGCGATTTCGTCAGCAAAATTGATTACGGGAAAAATTTCTTCTACCAATCACAATACCCTTGCTATTTAAGAGTAACTAATATGTTCGCATTAAAGCGTTGAACATCAGATAATATAGCCAACAGACAGTTGGAAAAAACTCATTTATCCTCACAGAGAAAGCGAAAAGGGAGGTTTCGTGCAAAAGCTCTTTGCTGTGATAAACTTATTAAATTGTTTCAGAAGTCGAAATGGAAAGTAACATGGTTCATGATGTAGGTGGTTCATGAATAAGCTTCTGCCAGCAATATTAGTTTAAACGAAACTATTGATTATCCGCAGCTTAGGCATCAAGATGAAACTCCCATCGCTCCGAAAGACAAAAAGTCGAAAAGATCTTGTTCTGAGTTGAGCCCCATATTAGACGAAATTGAAGTAACATCGCTGGTCAGAGATCTGAAAAGTTCAGTCAAACAAACTCTAGCTTCGCAAATGGCAACAATGATGAATGACATAAGAACGACACCCTAAAAACTGTTCACGATGCTATAGCCCATGAAATGCAATTGCTACAGAAGCAAATACTCGACGAAGCAAATGAAAACATGGGCTATCAGGGACGACAATGTGACCTTAAAGCTCGTAGTGAAGCTGAGCTAATCGAAAGATACAACCGCAGAGACAACGTCAGAATAATTGGAATTGCTGAAAACTCAAATGTCGATGAAAACGGAAGAAGAATGTATGAAAGCAATGAAGAAATTATTGAGAAAGTCGCCAAAATAGCCACCGCAAAAGGAGCAAATGTTTCGGAATCTGATATTTCAATTGCCCACCCACTTCCTACGAGAAAACATCATCCACGAACTATGATCGTTCGCAAGAAGAATCGGCAAAGTAGATCTCTTAGTAAGGAAAAAGAAGAAATTTTTACAGTCTTCCACGATAAGAGACATAAAAGTATTTGAGGATTTGACTGCACCAAGAGTCAAGTTCCTTAATTTGATGAAAAAAGATGCCCGAATAGAATCTGCCTGAACGCACGAGGGATTAATTTACTTCAAATATACAACATGAGGTGGTGCAATGTATAAGAGGTCTATATGAAGGAGGAATACAACTAGAGTACTCATTCAATGACGTTGAGAGCTGCTTCTATAAACAATGAAATGATATCCTCAAGCCAACAAAGTGCTAGTAGTGCTAAAAATTATGTTGCTAACTTTTGGAAAATACTAAATATGAATACAAGATCTATTTAAAAATACCACGAAGAAAGAGAAGCGCTTATAGGCAATCTTGAGTCCCACCTAACATATTAGCTTTAACTGAGACATGGCTAAATTGAACAGACAGTATAAATTGTTACAAAATTAAGGCGTTCGAACCATTGATATCAAAAAGTAGAATTTCAACGACAGGAGGAAGTGTAATGATCCAAAATGACAAGAATTGAGAAGTGATCAAAGAAATAAAATGCGAACTTGCGGAATGTGTAAGTATACAAGTTAGAATAATGAAAATAACTTACATTTTAGTCGTGATATATAACCCTCGTAGGACTGACAAAGAGTTCTTTATTGAACAACTTGACTCTCTTTGAGCGACTATTACTACAAAACACTCCCGTCATTATGTGGCGATATAAACATCGATTTAATGCGTGATAATCTAGCCACATCAAAATACTTAGATGTCATTATTTCGAATGGATTCAATATTCTCAACCAGGAACCAACAAGAATCATGGAAATGGCACAAACTTGCCTAGGTCATTTTATAATCAAAGATGTACATCATCAAAAACTACACCTTTTGTATAATCAAGGATTTTCGGATCATACTCGAGCTGAGCAAAAAATTTACATTAAGGAAATCAAAAATGAAAGCAAGGTCAGCTTTACAGACACATCATTCATCAAAAAAGATAAACATGTTCAACAGTTCAACACGGAGCTCGAAAAGCAGTTGCAGTCTTGTAATCCTCAGTAAATTAATTCAAACAAATGTTTTGCAGAGTTTGAAGAAATAATCAGTCGAGTCTTTCATAAATTTGCCCCAATAGTAATAAGAAACGTGTCCAAAAACAGCAATAAGTCCAAAGATTAAAAGTCGAAAAGAACTCGAGAGCTAAATCACGGTTTTACCAAGAAAATTTTGAAAATTGTATAGGTGACTCAAAACAAGTTTACAGGTTTTTAGACACAATAAAAGGAAAATCCAGAAATAATCCAGTCATTAGCGAATTGCTAGATAACAATGGTCGGAAGATTACTTTTCAAACTGATATAAACAACGAACTTTTTTTCGCCAGCATCGGTGAAAACTTAAGTTCAGTTATACCTCAAACATCGTTTGATGTATCAACCGAATTGAAAATCTCAATTTACATTTATCCTTGTCATGAACAAGAAATAAGTAAAACTATTGATCAGTTGAAAAGGAAGACATCTGCAGGAAGTGATGACATCAGTAACACACTAATCAAGGCTGCATCTAGTAAAATTGTTCATCATCTGACCAAACTGATAAATTGTTCAAGGAAAAGCGGAAATTTTGAATTTTTTTTAAAAAATTGAATCGAAGTTAGATATGGGAAATTACAGACCTAATTCTCTGCTCAATTGTTGGAGCTAAATTTTTGAAAAGTTTGTATGTCAAGATATATAATTACACGGAGGAACATTAACTACTTGATTGCAAGCAATATGGCTTCAGATATAAGCATATTACAAGAGATGAAGAAGCGGAATTTACTGGAAAAATTCCCTCTTCCAAAGGTATCATTTAAGTTCCGGTTGTTTGATTGATTTTAAAAAAGCGTTTTTTTGCACTGAATCATTCTATATTAATTAGGAAAATGGGTTATTATGGCTTGGATGGGCCATGTTCAATTTTGATAAAAAGCTATCTTTCAAATAGAGTTCAATGGGTTGAAATGAATGGTGTACGATCATCTTGGGCATAAGTTCATTGCGGAGTTCTCAAATGCTCAATACTTGGTTCATTACAGTTTCTGATTTACATAAATGATCTTCCATTAGCATGTAAAAGCTGTGAAGTTTTTCTCTTTGCCGACGATATAAAGATAAATGGGTTATCTTGCGGGATTCAAGAAATTATTAATGATATGGATAAAGTCTCTCAGTGGTTAGAGGCAAATAAATTAAGGCTAAATTTAGCTGCAAAAAATCAAAAAAAGCTGCAAAAAAATCAAAACTGAACGTGAACAAATTTAAAGACTTTTTCCTAACATAAAAATCACCAAAACCCATATAAGAGTACTCACTACTTTCATTACTCATAAAAAATGTCTTCACTAAATTAATTGACACCTAATAAAGGCATTAAACTCCGTATAATTTAGTTCAGCAAATCGCCTACCTCCAAAACTGACCAAAACATTTTACATTTGCGCTCAGGGTGTCGATATATTCAAAGGGAAAGAAAAATATCTCTCAATATCAAACACTACTTTGATAAACTTTACATTGAAATGTGGGCCGTGCATTGGAAAAAAGTAGACTGGCCATATAATACACAGATAATTTTAAGATCATTTATCCACGAGGGATAGGACCAACATACGAGCTGTACAGCTCATCACGGCGAACCGCTGTTGTGCCCCTGCTTAAGAACTACATGCAATTTTTTTGGTTATTTTTCTGGGCTGGGTAATGTTGCCTCACCCTCAAGCAACGAGCACGGATCATGGTGGGCCTCGAACATCCGACCTTTCGATTGAGAGGCGGAGACGTTAACCACTTCACCACTGCTCCCCTCGTGGTGAAGTGGTTAACGTCTCTAGTTAATATGTAGCAACCTTAACTATTAAATTGATTTCCGTAATCTGATAAACTGCTAAACAGAGAAACTCAATTTGTAACTTCGTTATTTCAAATCATTACAAGAAATAATTTTCATCGAATTTAACCTTTTCTGCTAATGCGTTAATTTGGTAGCTGAATTGATTTTTAAACTGAACACGAACACAAGACCCCGGCACATTTCTCTAAAGACTTCAAATCTCGCCAAAATTTCATTACGAGCGAATATGCACTTTGCAAACACAAGCAAAAAATGACAATAAGAAGCTCCAAAAGAGCCTAAATAAGTCAACGCGCTTGCAGAAACAAAAATTGGTGCGTACGGGATTCAAGCCTCGGAACTACTTGCCACATGTACATAAAATACGACCAAAATAGAAGACGTTCTAAATATTACCGTAGGGGCTGGGGACTATGTGAGTAGTCAAGAGATCAAATCCCTGGCAATCCCTATATCCGTTTCTGATTTTGAGGCGTTGAGCTAACTGCAAATAGAATTTGGAATCTATTGATGATCTCTTGAACTGTTCCGTATCTCAGAAGCATTCTCATTGCTTTTCGAAAAAAAAAAACCATTTCAAGTTTTTTCATAACATCTTAAACTAGGTACATACTATATATACAGTTTATACTTTGTACAATTTGAGATAAAGAACTGCTCTAATGAAAAAATGTATATGCCACCTGTTCTATTTCAAAGCAATTTTATTATATCTACAATTTTTTTCTACAATCTATATTCATAAATTCATATATACAGATTTGTACATATCATTAATTGAGTCGTTAGTAATCAAATTCAGGAAGGTTTTAAATTAAATTCAAGATCCTCCAGCCCAAGTTTCGACTTGAATTGAGCGCGACTTACTGAAGCTCTTTGGTCTGGACTTGCTGTAAATCTTCGTTGGTGCCAAAGGTTTCAGCTTGAAACATGAGACAGTGAATTTATTTATGCTTTAGTGCTAATTAATAAATACTTTTTGTGAAATTGACATCACAGCCAGAAAAAATAATACAATACTCAAAAACAACTTAAGTTAATTTTGTTAAGAGCCTGGAGTTTACCTTGGACCATTTGATTTCCTCTGATAGTTGGAACTGTAGCTTCTTGTACTCAATGAAGGAGTTTGCGTGTTTCTCCAATTCCTTACGCATGATAGCATTCTAAAGAAACAAAATAAGACACTGTTTAAATTTAAATAAAAAAACGGCAGAATTTTTTATACGATGGAATTGCCTAACGCTTCTCCGGGCTTGGAATTGGAAAAATCAAATTTAAAAACTACTGACGTCTTTCTGTTCCTTCTGAAGTCTAGCTTTTAGGTCCATTCGCTCTTCATGTAGAGTGGAAACTTCGCCCTAAACACTTTCAATTTGAGACATAGGCTCTAGTGTATAATCAGACTACCGTTCTAATATCACATGTTTTAATTTGAGTTCGGAAATTTAGAGCTGGCAGAACACTTTTTCCATAGTACCATATTTAGAGCAAAGCTGTTCAATTGATCATTTTGGTCTCAGGCCCAAAGAAGAATTTGGATAACTTGCGAATTTCGCCAACGTTGTATAGAGTTCAATAACGTTTCAGTGCTATCGTATTTGCTCAATGGTATTTCAGATAATCTTTTGCCGAAAAATCTTGAAACAAAAGTTTCTCGGAAAGAATTTCAGCTAACTCATGTTTATCTAATAAAAACTCAACTACTTCGATTGAACTAACGGTAACACGATTACACAAAAATTCATTTAGAGTTAACATCCAAGTGACACACCTGACATCTCATCATCTCTGCATTGTATGCCTTCAGCTTGTCAGTCATATCCACAAACAGAGACCTCCACAGTTTAACCTCATTGTCCCGCTCTTCAGCCTCCTCCAGGTATTGCTGTAACACACGTCACATTTTACCACTACCACTTCCTTCTCACGGTAAAAAAAAAACATTTCAAAGTTTCTGGTAAATTCTGACTCAGAAGGAGTTTGAGTATGCCTATATGATTTTAAAATGTTCATGCACAACACAAAATGCTTAAAGCTTGATAATCAAAGGATGATTTCTTATACATAAGATGATAAGAAAGGAAATGAACAAAATGTGAATACAGACAAACAGTTTACCTTTTGGAATCACAACCTATAAAATGATATATTAGTGAAAATTTGTTAAGAAAAATGACAGAAAAATTTTACTCGGGCACAAACAAAAGAGGTTGGAAGAATTATGGATAAAAAGATTATAAAAACCAGGAACTTACGTGATTCTTTCGAATAATATCTTCCACTTTCAGACATGTTTTATTCACCGCTCCTTCCTCTGCTGTTACATATTGTGGACTGTGTCCCCTCGGCGAGTGCTTCTTTCTCACCGCCTGCTGGCTCGTCGCCCTAGGACCTAAGGATCGATCCCCACCCTCCACACCCTTCTCTTCTTCCTTCGGCACTTCAAGCTGATCCGACTTCTTTCGGTTCTCGTCGCCTGCAACTTTTTCTTCCAATTCCTCTGGTTTTGCGCCATCCGGAGAGTCAATATTGATCGGTGGAGGCTTGATGTCAGAGTATCGCTGACTCGGGGCGGTGTATGCCCTTGATCTGAGAGCCTCATTTGAATCCTGTCGAGCCATGACCATGGGTGGGGATTGATTGCGCTGTTGCAGACCCAAATTTCTAATAGGTAACAATTTCCAATGCTTATTGAACTTCAATAAATGAATAGTTTCTCAGTATAAATGCTTAGCCAAAGTTTAAGGCTATTTCGCTCGCACATTTTTTAAAAATCGGAACGATCAAGTTAACAAACATCCATTCCCCTTCCTTTCAAACGCCACACCCTATTATTTAGTTTGAATTAAACTCGCTCAGCGTTGCATCTAAAGCGCATGATATAGATCGGCTGAAACTTCCAAGTAAGAACAAAATCAGTTTCTTATGAACTAAACCGTTTCACCGGGAAGAGGTTAAAACTAAAAGCTATGAGTTGACTTTCAAACAATGATTATTCAGACAAACATTATGCCAAAATCGCAAAAATGCCACGAACAATTGTCAAAAAAAATCCTAACAATTGTCAAAAAAAATCCTTCCAATGTTTCATTTAGTTCTTTGCAATAGTAATAACTCACATAAAGGAAATTTACAATTCGGTAACTAAACACAAAGCTTCAGTCAAAAACGAGGAAGCCGATAATCATCGGTCAAGAAAAGCTTATTGCAATGTGGTGTTGTACAAAAAAGCTGAGCCATACAGAAAAATGTGTCAGAATTACAGCGTAAAAAACAATTAAAAAGCAGCGATAAAGTTTTTTTTTCACACAGAGATGAAGCAGAACTTCTTAAACTTGCGATACCAAGCAAACATAATATTGCAATGCTGCAAGCATGAACTGAAATAAAAGCCACCGATTCGAGAAAAGAGAAAATTTCACAACACAGAGGCAAAGTTGAGCTTCGCAACATTTGCGATGTAAATCACACATAGCGGTACAAAATAGTGACTGAAAAAAGACAAAAAAAAGTAAAAAATTCTGAAAAATTATGTTGGAAAAAATAACTTGGCAAAAATTGGAAAATTACCACAACAAAACTCATATTTGTATGGGATGAAGTTCGTTTACAGCCCTTAAAAATAGGAAGCACTTACCGAGTGAACGCGAGACAAATTGGTTCGAAACCTGTTGAGACGAAAACAAAAACTGTTGTCGTAAAAATTTCATAAAAATTCAAAGTGTTTACGACCCACCCAATTGAAATACATAATCCCAAACGGATGAATTTTTCCCTCGATATTACGATGAATAAGTTGACTAAGACGATAAAACAAACTGAAACCATTTGAATAACAAAAAAAAAACGAAAAAAAAAAATGAAAAAACTCAAAATCAGACATAGTAAATTTAGATATTAGTAAGTTATAGTAAAAACTTTTTAAATTGGAACAAAAGCCATGCTTTAAAAATTAAGCTAACAAAACCCTACCAGAAAATGGCGTTTAAAAAACGAAACATGAGCTGATTATTTTTGAAAATTATTTTTGAAAAGATAATTACATCTGAAACGGGCGTGAACTAATTACTACTTAAAAGATAGTACTTTTATTTAAATTTGAAAAATCCAGTAGATGTGAAGATCCTCTAGAAGAAGTGAAGATCCCGTGGACAAGATTGTTTACGGAAAAAGTCTAGTACCCGATTATAATACCCTTGCTTATCGCAAGGGTAATAACTACATCCTACAAAAACCATATTTTTGTCTCGAATGATGCTCACTTTGAAAAAATATGTCCAGCAACACAACCACTATCGTTAAAGAAGAATTCAGAAACAATTTCCGAACGGCAACTGAGCCGACTACAGTAAGTAAACGTCAGTTAAGCCGAAAACAAAACAAAATCTTGAGCTAATAAAATTTGAAATTCTTAAGTTTCACGCCCTCCGTATTCCGGAAACACGAAAAAAGATACAAGTATATACTTACATTTGACAATGAAAAATTAAGCCACTGAGCTAATGAAACATTAACAAAACCATTTAGGCCGACAAAAAACTTTTAAGCAAAAAAGAAAACGAAAAAAATGAAAATGTCGAAAAAACAAGATCTATCGAAATGAATAAGGCTAGTTTTAATACAAAAACATGTCAAGACAGTAGAAAGTGAAATTAGCATCAGAAGATAACGCATCAAAGCCAAAAAGCGGTAACAAAGTCAAAACTACCGTGCCAGAAACCCTTCAAGCCGAAATAAAAAATCAAAAAGACATGAAAATTCGCCCTCAAAACACAAACACTCTAAGACTTTGTTAGCTCGTCAAATGAAACAATATGAGGCCACTAATCGATATAATTTAAGCAGAAACCTCATAAGCCTAAAAAACAACAAGCCGAAAAAGTCAAAATTAAGTCCCCTAACATATACAAGAACATATACACGCACAAACAAACTTTTTTCGCTCGTCGAAAGACGCAATATGAGGCCAATTAGACGATATAATATAGGCCGAAACGTATCAGGTCAAAAAAAAGAGCCGAAAAAACTGTTGTCATGAAAAACTTTCTATTAAAAGTTTTAGCATTATGTACGATTCACAGGTGAGAATAAAACATGTGTTTCCGTGGAAATGGCTCCAAAATTAGGCCACTGAGCCGATAAAAAGCATACACGTTAATTTTTTCTTGCTCTAATTATTGCTCTCCTGAAAAAAAAACAAAATAGTCAAATTAAATGAAATTTCAAAAAGGTACATGAGAAACTCTTGAAACGCAATTACTTGCAGAGAACCCGATTAGGGTGAAATTATTTTCAATTATCGGGCTAGTTCAATGATAAGGCAACAAGTTGACAAAACCTTATCAGACAAACAAAAACCGACAAAGATTTTTTGGCACGCAGAAAGTTCCTGGCCGGATTCGAGCCCTGTACCTTTGTCTCCGCAGGCATGTGCGTTACTTCTATGCCACATGTGCGAATAAGCGCCTTGATTTTGAAATGATTTTAATTGGCTATTTAAATGATTTTGATAAAACAAGCTCAAATCCTTGCTAGTTTGTGAGAAAAAGTTGATTAACGCAAAAATTCAAAATCAAAAACTTTAAATCGTAACCCAGAAGCCTAAAAATTTGGTGGAAGCAAGAAATAAGAGTTTCAAATATGCTAAGACTATAGACATTGAAAAAAAAAACAGCTTTCTTACCCAATTTTTCGCTGTGAATGTGTTCCCTCAGTACCCATGTAACTGCCATTGGCTCCTCCATTTCTTCCCCTCCGTTTCTCATTCTCGTAAAGTGACTTGTACTTGGTCGCCATCTCGTTCGCCCTCTTCAACTCAGATGAAATAGACTTCACTCTACTTTCAGCTGCACTCAAACGAACACGCAATAAGTTTCAATTATTCCGTACACACTTTTTGGAATTGCTCGAGAAACAAACCAATTGATCTCCAATATTGAAGAAAAACGCTTAGTTCCGATCAAGGGGCGGATTTAGGGGAGGGTGCGGACGCTTTGGTATTATTTTATAATATTCATTTTCGTCCGATCAACACTTAAACTTTTCTAGGCTTGGCGCCAATATATTCTAATTTTGAAGGAGAGCGCGCGTCAAAACGGGATTTGAAAGCGTTAACAAAGCCAAAAATACCTTTAAATAAAAATCAAAAAGACTTATGAAAAGTTACAGAGTCCCACTCGCCCTCATAACACAAACACTCAAAAACCTTGTTTGCTCGTCAAATGAAACAATATGAGGCCACTAAGCCGATATGATTTAGGCAGAAACCTCATAAGCCTAAAAAAACAAAAAGCCGAAAAAAAATCAAAATTAAGTTCCCTCACGCTAAAAACACATACACGCACAATCAAAATTTTTTCGCTCGTCGAAAGACGTAATATGAGGCCAATTAGACGATATAATATAGGCCGAAACATATCAAGTCAAAAAAGGAAAAAACAAAAGAGCCGAAAAAAAAACTATTGTCATGAAAAACTTCTATTAAATTTTTTCTATAATTTCTATAATTTCTATTAAAATTTTTAGCATTGTGTACGATTCACAGGTGAGAATTTAAAATGTGTTTCCGTTGAAACGACTCCAAAAGTAGGCCACTGAGACGATAAAAAATAGGCCGAAACCATAGGCAATAAAAAAACAAAAAATAACAAAAAAAAAGAAAATATACGAAGTCAAGCCTAGTAAAATTACAAGCAGAGGTAAATCAGAACACTAAAAGCAACTATATAGGATCAAAACTAAAAAAAAAAAAACAATTCTACAATATGGCAAATAAGAAATTCCTAGATCCGCCCGTTCCGAGTTTTCCAAACATGAATGCAGCAAATTGAAATCGAAGATTTATTAGAGCCAGAAAATAACCAAATGATAAAAAAATTAAATCGTTCTCTTCTACAATCGAAAATGATTGCTAAACACGAGTTGATATACAATGCACACGAACCCTCCTTAGATCTCTTATCATGCTTCAGGAAGCTCTTCTGAGCTTCTGCTCTCACGTGCTTCATGTCTGCCATACTGTTAGCCAGTGCATCTTCAGTCTGCTCGATATTTCTTTCTTTCTCTCCCAATCTCGTTTCCAAAACCAGTTTGTGCGATTGCGCCTCTAAGAGCTGAGATGAGAGGAAATCGATTTGTTTTCGCAGACCGTCGACGTCTTCTCCGCTGCCTGAAGCTCTAAACAATCAAATTTTTTTTAGATTTTATTAATTACACTAAATTGCTAAATAGGCTTCTTAGTTAGTACACATTTGGTTAGTAGGTTTGGCTACTAACAAAAGGGCCTGCTAAAAAAAACGAAAAATGGTCGAAAACAAACCTAGTTCCTAAATTTGGTTCCGTTGAACGACCGTCATGTCCAGCTAGTTTGTAAGATGATATGCGAACCAACGTGTGAAAACAAAAAACCCTTTCTGAACGAATAGAAAAATAATCACACAACTTTTCCACGAGCAGACAAAATAGGCATGATTAAAAACTTTCAAGCTCTTTCCAGCTGTAGATTTTTATGCATTTATAATGAAAAATATAATCAAGCGGCAACTAAGCCATCAAAAATTGGTTAAGTCCCATAAGTCGAAAACAAAATTGTCGAAAACAAAAAAAAGGAAGACAGTGTTAGTGAATTTAACGCAGAAGTGAACCTTCGCTTCGCAAACACTAGCGAGAACACGAGAAATAGCAGCTCTATAAAAATCAATAAAAAAATAGAAAAACGCCCCGAATCCGCAAAAATTCGGCTAGGTCTAGGATTCAATCTGCAGTCTACTCCAATCGAGAGATTTCGAGTCTCACGCACTAACCACTCAGCCACGCAAGCTTAACTACCGGCAAACACTAGTCACGAATAAAGCAGCTGCATATGCTAATAAATTTCCAATACCATTCAGCAAAAGTGGCACCAAATACAAATAGACACAATTTTGCATGCAACAAATTGCAAAGCATAAAGCCATATTATGTATAAATTATGCATTTCAAAAAATTGCTAGATATATTGAGTTATAAAATTTTAAAAATCGAGCTTTTATTAGTTGTTGATTGAAACAAGAAGCTTTTTCCGGCTCATTTGATGAATTAAAAAATGCATCAACTGGGTTAACTTATTACTATTCGAATGTCAAAGCACATGCTATCAAAAAGCTGTAACAGTGCTCAAAAAGTGGTACTAATTTTTGCGACTTAGATTAGAAAAAAAGAAGTTTCTTAATAATACACTAAGATGACGCAAGTGTAAAAAGCACGGAATAAACCAATAACCCTTTCAACTAAAATGAAACTTGCTTACAGCACATAAAATTACTTACCGCATATTTGAAATGGTTTACCCTCCGTGTGAAAAAAAAACAGGTTCTGGCCATTTGGAAACTTGGAATGCTGTTTTCTCAGGTATAGTAGTTACTTCGGGAGAAGCCTAAAAATTTGAATGTATTATAAAATCAGGCTATTTTCAGTGTACTCCAAGACCGCAAAATTCCATCATTATGGGCTTTAATGACCGAAAAAACCGAGGGAGCTTACTAAAAATGTTGGAAAGAATTGATAAAAAATGCCAATTTTTTAGTCGAAAATTTCCAAACAAGTTGTATTATAACCAATTAAGAGACGGGTTTCATTGCCGCCGTGAAAAACGTGATGCCAGAATTCTATAATTTCGGCTGTTTTCTTTTATTATACTCAGGCCATTTTCCAAAAAAAATCAACATTTCAGTAACTTTGTCGCAAAATTTTCAGCCTAGGTTTTTAGCCAATGGGCTATAAGATCGCAAGTTTTAGCACTCTGGCTTGTGCCGAAGACTGAAAATTTCATTCCTAAAATCAAATTTGGGTCAATTATGTCGAAAAAGCTTGTATTTTAGAATTGGAATTTTTAAGTGGAACGTTTCAAATATGCCACATCTCCAAACAACAAACGCCTGCGAATCAAGACATGCTTCCTGAATAGATAAAAATGGAAGAAGCCACCCATCTTTATGAGTAACTGAGGAAGAATTGAAAAAAACCTCACCTCCACAGAAAAAAAGTTGCGTTTACTCAACGCCAAAAACAAACGATTAAAAAACAATTATCAGTTTGGACATTTTTTGGAACAAAAAAAAGCATTATTAGCCGAAATTTGTGTAAAAAATGAACGTAACTTTTACATATCATTTGTGCATAATTTATCTATTTCAGAACTCTCGTGTAAGAATCTGATTTAATGTTTTATGATCACATACATTGATTATGTGATAGGTATTGTCATGTTATTTTCCTTTTTGTACTTGTGAAACTTCTTGAGAAATTATTTTTGAGCCCTTTCATTTCCTTAGCAGTGCCGTCTAAACTTCCAGATCTGAAAGAAAAAATTTCCTTCTCATTTCCTTTTTATAGCAACCGTCTTATTTTTATCTTTTAAATTCTTTGACTCCCGTAATATAACACGAATGTAAATAACAACAGTGCGTTGGCGGCATTTTGTCACTCATTAAGGCTAGATAGAGGTTGTTCCCACAGCCACGGGCCCTTGACAATTTACTAACACTAGCCAAAAACAAAGCAGCTACATATACTAAGACATTGCCAATGCTACGTGGCAAGTAGCACATTTATTGGACACAAATTTTACATGTAATAATTAGGAATATACTAAACTAAAGGCGTCTACGCTAACTTTGCATGTAATAAATTGGAAAGCATGACGACAAATTATGAAAAAATTATGCATTTCAAAAAATACCGGATATAGTGAGAAGGAAAATTTCTAAACGGGAACTTTCATTTTTGCACTGCTGCATAGAAATAGCTTATTTCGGTTCATTGATACAAAATAGCCTCAACTGAGTTACTTTATTACTTATTGAATGTCAAAGCAGATGCTACCAAATACCGCAAAGGCGCCCCAAAAGTGGCACCAATAATTGCGAAATTCAAAAAGAAAAAAAAGAAAAGCCGTAGTCGTACTATTACACTACGACCGCAAGTTTAACAATTCTGATAAAATCGAAAAACGGTTCCTAGATTAGTGAAAATTATTCAAAGTTCATTCAAGAGAGATATATTTGGATACATAAGCTCTGAAATTCAATCCAAAACTTCCAGGCTCAAAAAAGTTTTTAAAAAACGTAAATTTTATATTTAACAAACAATGGATAGATTTCGAAATTTCAGTGTAATAGAATTTGCCAATTCCAGAATATTAACTTCTCCTCAAATTTAGTTTCCACTGATGATCGTGAGCATAGCTTTCTTGTAGTCGCCACTAGTTTCGCCTTCGACCATTTTAGCTAGTGGCTCGTTTGCAATTGACTGGAATTTGTCTTTAATCTCTACGAGGTCAACTTCTGCTCGGGAAATAACAACTCGCATCAACACTTTGTCATTTGTTCCCAGTCCCTAAAAAGACATCATTTGTGAGCTGAATGTGCAAAATATTCGACATACGAGAAACAAATCAAGCACAGGCAAGCTCAAAACTTTAAGAGTAGAAATGGTTCTAAAGTTGGTTTGAAAAAATTACGGAACTTCGCAAGATAGAAATATATTTACCTTCATAGCTTTATGGAGAGTTTTGGCGAAATGCTCTTGTCTGTTCTTGATACACGCCACAATTGTCTTCAGTCCGTTCTTGATGTCACCAGAAAACTCTGAAGAAACTGAATCACTCAAATCTTTTCCACCTGAGAAGGCTTTGTACTCCTCAAACACACATCTCAGATGCGCGTAAGATCTCGTAGCCAGAATCTTGACAAACTCTTCCTCATTTGTGCCCAGCTTTCCTTCTCCACTGTCGAACAAAATCTTTGCGTCCCGTTTACACTTTGATTTGTCCAGCTGATCCGGCTCGGCATCTCTGGCTGCGTTCATCAAAGAGACTAGAAGTTTCTGGAATGTTCCGGAAGTGTCACCTTTGACATCAGCTTCCATCGACTTGTTAAACATTGCTTGATAAGCTGTTTTGATAGCTGATAATTCTTCATTCGTTCTTGTGCAGAGAATCTCGACCAAGCAATCATCGTCGGTTCCGAATCCTTTCACAGCTTTTTTGATCTGTTGAGCGTCGAAATGAATGTTCGACTCCATCAATCCTAGAATAATTGTTTCCAATTTGCCACTTAATTCACTCTCCAGGTCCTTCAGAAGATCTCTTCCAAATGCTTGTTTGAATTTCTCCTTTAGCACTTGTCTTTGAGCATTATTCCTTGCACATACTACGCCTATAATTGCGTCCTCGTCAGTTCCGAAACCCTTCATAGCCTTTCGCAACGTCTGGACATCTTTGTCCAAATCCGCTCCAGTAGCTTCTTTGATTACCGGTGTTTGGGTGTATTCCAGCTTGTACGGCGCAGCATCGATCCATTCTGGCGGATCAACAGGCTCAACCTCTGGCTCCTTGAAATCTTTCGGCAACTCTCCAGCAACAACTGCCAACAAAGCGGCCTGGAAATCTCCGCCCGTATCGTCTTTCACCCATTCTTCCATTGTTTTGCTATAGGCCGCTTGAAAAGCTTCTTTGATCTGAACCAAATCTTTCTCGCTTCGACTTATGACTGCACGCGCCAGCGTCTGATCGTCGGTTCCCAAGCCTTTCATGCTCTTGTAGATTACTTCAGCGAAATAATTTGATCGCCCACATACACACTTGATGATAGTTTTCAGTCCACTTTTGAAGTTTCCGGACATCTCTGAGGACACGGATTCGCTCAAGTCTTTGTTCGCCAGTTTCCTATATTCGTCAAACATAGCCTTTAAGTGAGGAAATGATCGAGTAGCCAGAACTAGATTGAATTCTTCTTCGTCTGTCCCTCGCTTTAGTTCTCCTGCATCCAGTAAGGCCTTTGCGTCTCTTCTTACTTGAGCCAAATTAATTTGAGGACCCTCCTCGCGAACTGAAGTAACCATTGAGATCATTAGAGCTTGGTAATCTCCACTAGTATCCCCTTTAACATCTTTCTCCATTGTTGTTTGGTACAACTTTTCGTATGCTTCTTTCATAGCATCAATTTCGGCGTTTGTTCTTGAACAGAGAATCTCGACCAAAGCATCATCATCGGTTCCCAGACCCTTAACAGCTCGTTTGATCTCACTTGCATCGTAATCAGCTTCTGTTCTCATTAATCCAACCATAAAGTTCTCAATGTCCCCAGACAATTCACTCTTCAAGTCTTCGATCAAATCTCGTCCGTAGAGCGTCTTGAATTTCGAAGCTATATCTTGACGTTGCTTGTTATTTCGCAAGCATAAGATTCCAATAATCATACTTTCATCAGTTCCCAGCCCTTTCATCGCCTTTCGCAAAAACGTTGCGTCTTGCTCTGCATCGAAGTTTTCGTACTCTGTCACAGTACCTGAATATTCCTGGTGATCCTCGTACTGCGAGGCATCAACCCATTCGTCCGGTTCCATTGACACACCCTCGTTGACACCTGATTGGTCAGATATTAGAGCCAATAGAGTAGCTCTGTAATCACCTGAGGTATCCCCGCGAATCATGTTCTCTAGAGAGTCGTTATACTTTGCTTGATAAGCTTCTTTGATTTCAACCATGTCCAACTCACATCTTGAGGTCACAATTCTAACCAAGTCTGAATCTTTCGTTCCTAGTCCTTTCATAGACTTGTACAGCTTCTCCGCGAAATACGTGCAGCGGTCTTCTATAACGGCGACTAGTGTTTTCAGAGACTTTCCAAAGTTTCCACTCATTTCAGATTTCAAGGCATCGACTATCGTCTTGTTGGCCAGCCCCTTGTACTGTGAGAAGACTGCTCTAAGGTAAGGCGGACTTCTCGTGGCAAAAATAGTTATAAATGCCTCTTCGTTTGTTCCCCATTTCGCCTCTCCAGCGTCATATAGGATCTTGGCGTCTTCTTTTGCCTTCGAGAGATCCACAGTCTGGGTGGTTTCTCGCTTCGCATTTATCATCGCCACCAGGAGCTTCTTGAAGTTTCCAGACGTATCTCCGATTACATCATCTTCCAGGCTCTTCTTGAACAACGTTTTGTATATTTCTTTGATCTCTGATTTCTCCTTGTCGCCTCTTGTACAGAGAATCTCAATCAGACAACTATCGTCGGTACCTAAACCTTTCGTTGCTTTTTTCAACTCGCACGCGTCATATTCCGCGATCGGCTTCATCAGTCCAACAATAATATCCTCAAAATTAGCACTCAGCTCGCTTTTCAAATCTTCAACTAAATCTCTTCCGAACGCCGATTTGTACTTCAAAGCGATAGCTTGTCGTTGCTCATTGGCCCGATAACATAATATGTTATAGATCGCTTTTTCGTCCGTTCCGAAGCCTTTCATAGCTTTTCGCAAGGCCTTGGCATCAGTTTCCGAGTCAAATGGTTGAATCCATTTGACAGTCCCGTGACACGGTTTATCAGCGAACTCGTCTGTAAATTCGGGCGGGTCTTTAGGCGCGGTCGGATTTAATCGCTCCATTACTGATTTCTTCGGTGGTTCTTCTTTCGGTTTTGGAGTTACCGAAGGTTTTCGTTTAACCACTTTCTCAACGGGTTTCGGTGGCTTTTTCTCAACAGGTTTCGGCACCGGAGGAGGCGGTGTTGGAGGAGGGGTTTCCTTTTTCGGGGCCGGTTTTGGTTTTATCGGTTTTTTCTTTTTAACTACCGGAGGTGGTGGGGTCGGAGCTGGTTTTGGAGGTGGCGGTGGAGGAGGTTCAATCGGTTTGGGCTGCTTTTTCTTGAGCTTCGGTATCGGTTTTGGCTTTGGTGGTGCGCTTCTTATGACCGGAACCTTGAACACTGGATGACCGAGAAAGTGTTTGAATGTTTTAAACAATTCCTTCACAACAGCTGAATCTGAAGGCAATTCTTTGGCAAATTCTTCAATGAACACACAAATAATTTGAACATCCCGATCTATTGCCGACTGAATGATTTTGTAGCAGTCCGTATTCAATGTTGTCTGCTGCTCTGTTGTGAACAAAATCCCCCTTTTAGCTCCAAAACACACGCAATGACCTATTAGTTTGAACAAAATATCTGACGCAGCTCCAGATGCAAAGATGTTGTCATTCCTCACATGGAGAATGGTATGCATACTTCCCGATTTGTTCAGGAAGATCCCAATTCCTCCGTCCACAACCCTGCACGTGTGAATATCGAACTCGGTTCGCGTCGTTCGGAACAATGATGCTACTAAATTAGCGAACACAGGCACTAGTTGCTGCTTCTCTATGTGTACATTTGTTGTCATAGGATGATCATTTGGAGTTTTGATGAATTTGAGCATTTGGACTAGAACCATTTTAGCACTACGCTGAGCTGCGTCTATACTGTGTTCCATGTTAGACATGTTGATGCGATAGTTCTTCAACTGACTGTTAACCTTAAAAAAACGGCTATCAACTTCATCAATCTTTTTCTTCACTAAAACCTTACGGTGCTATGATTTTCAGAATTAGTCTTACATTAGGGGCAGGGGCGGATTGGAGGGGGGAAGTCCTCACCCCTCAGGGATTCGACCCCCTACCGACCCACCCAAGGGTCCCCCTTTGTACTATTTTGAGATATCCATTTTTGGTGACGGACCCTAATAAAAATTTTCTTAGGGCGCTAATATATACTAATTGTTAGCGGGGAGCGCGCGCCGAAATAACGCAATTTTTCAGTCAAAATTTTCTAAAAAGTGCCTAAAACGCATTTTTTTGCCCATTTTTTTCAAAATTTTACCTGCGGCACAGAAAACTTGGCCAAAACATGGTCTCTTTCCAGTGCTTTTCGATAGCTCGGAAAATCAAATTGGTTGATCTATAAAAAAGGAAGACAAAATTTTTGAAAACCCTCCTCGAAAAATCCGAGATCCGCCCCTGGTTAGGGGTATCTTTTCGAATACAATAGCTAATATTTAGATAAACTGAAAAGTGTTAGTAGGAAAATTGTCTGAAAACTTCACACGAATCAAGAATTCTGGGCTCTTCTACCGTCCCCCCCTTTCTCCCATTTGCCATTTTCTGTGTCAATTTTTGTCCATGTAGTCATGAAAATTGGCATTACGCAATTATAAGAACATCAAAACATGTCCCCATGTACAACTTGAACTTCGTAAAACCAATGGTTACACAGTAAAATCAGTGTTCATGTACAAAAACGTGGCGATGAAACAGTAGAAGAGCCTAATTCCGACATATCTTTTTAACGCAGCATATCTTATTCTGACATATCTTTTTAGTGCAGCATATTTTAATGCAAAATAAGACTGACCTGATTGAGTTGTTCCTCCAGTTTCAGCATCGTGATTCCATAGTTCATCTCATCTCGTCCCTGGAAAAAACTCAGATCATCCACGCCGTAGCTCACCATATCTTCCATGTACTCCATCTTAGCCCTTATTCTGTGTCTCTTCGCCAACAAGTACCTCGCCCGTTCCTCCGCGTCCTCCAGTTTCCCCCAAAACTGCCCACTTTTGCTCGACAGTTGTTCACATGCTTTTTCTCCTTTCTCAATCAGATTAGCTATGACATCAGCGATTACGTCAGCACTCGCTCCTGTGTGAACCACTTGTTCCCAGTCTTCATCGCTTTCAAAAGGATCCCAAGCAGCAGAGCGCGCAACTTGACGATGGCTTTCTTCAATTTCGCTTACGGATAAAGGCAAAGCTGGGACTCCACTAGCCGCTGATTGATTTAACTCGTCATCGGCCAAAATTTCGTCGGTAATTTGCTTTAAAAGGGAGAGCTTAGATCGACTGCGATCTGAGAGGGTCATAGTGAGTTATTCAACTATAGAGTAATGAATGAATTATAATAAAATAGCTGATCTATTGACAAAAATTTGGAAACTCTTCATTTGGAAACAGAAAATTTGACTTTCTTTTTCAACCAAAAACTGAACACAACGCGGTTCAATTGAACATGAGTTTGATACACGTTTACGTCGTTTTTGATTGTATAAAAAATTCATACAAAAACCAACACCTTTAAATGTATTTAGTTAAAAACGCACGTTTTCATAACAGTTTGAAAACATTCAACGCTCACCACCAGCAGATAAAGTAAAAAATGCTGTTCTGTAAGACGCATCAGGCAGACAGAACGATCACCAATAACTAATTCAACAACGAGTAATTTAGAAACCTAGCCAATCGCCAAGATTGGAAAAAGAGTAATGAACGCAAGTAAACATAAAAAAAACACTGACTTAATAGAAAGTTTCGGTTTCAAAGAAAAAAATAGATGCCCTTTAAGCTCTTTGATTTCTATAACGATTTATGATTGGCACTTTTCGGATAACATTAACCCAACTTGAGAAAACTGGATCAACAGATAAAGTTTTTATTCCGCTGGATATCTAAAAGTAAAGTTCACTTTCGAAACTAGAAATCGTTCGTTTTTTTTTTTGCGCCATTTCCACGCTCGTATTTGGAGAAGGCTATTTACGTCACGTTCAGCGGATGAGTTTCAATTGAACTCAAAAAATGCATACATTCCTAAGTACATTCATAAAAGCATCAATATGCATGAATGCACATCTGTAGTTATTAGAGACTTTTATACACATTTTAAGACTTTTTCCTAAAAAAAAAAACAAAAAAAAATCAGCAAGACCTATATAAGAGTCTTCACTACGTTCATTACTCTTAATAAATTAAGCTTAGTATAAACCTAGAGTGAAGTGCATGCCAAGTTATTTCACTCATTCCGCCATTTAATGTTTGAAAATCTGGAAATTATTTACAAACATTTTTCCGCACCTTATGAACTTCAGCAAAGCCTACAGACGGTTTGAAAAGAGCCAATGAACACAAGAAAACGGGGGAAAGTACTGACTTCTTTTCGAGAGCTCTTTGAATTTCAAAACTTAAGACAAGCATTTTTTTGATACAATTAACCCATTTAGAAAACTGGATCAGTTGGTAAATTTTTATTCAGCTTGGAAATCTGAATAATAAAATCTACTTTAAATTTAGAAATCAATCCATTTTCTTGTGACCGCTACAACTTTGATGTTCGATAGTATAAATTCCTTCCTTTTAACAAATGAAAAGAATTGAACTTGAAAAAAAATCATAAGTCAAACTCCGAAAACCAAACTTGAGCGTAAACTAAATTTAAACTTTTCCTGTAGAAAAAATCACCAAGTCTTCACCACATTCATCGTCTTCTAAAAACATCTCGACTAGTGATAAGGGGGTATTCTCATGACAGAAGGATCGTATGAGCTTAACTTTTCAATCGGAACTGACTGATTTTCCAGCGTATTTCTTCCAGATTTCCTATTGACTTACATAATTTTCAGGCATTCGGTCCGTTTGAAATCAAAGATCCCGCACACCCAAACTATAGATTTTTGGAATACTCGTCTAATATAGCCAACAGACAATTTGTGGATCATCAACAAAATCAAGGTGACCGGAAAAAGACACTAATTTTCAACTTTCGCATTTCAAAGAGCTCTTTGAATGTCAATAACCATCATTATTGACATTTTTGGTAAAAACTGGCGCCATTTGAAGAGAGATAGATCGATAGACAAAATTTTTATTCGTATGGGAAATCTCAAAAAAACGGACATTCACTTTGGAAACTTCAAGTCAATTACATTTTTTTGCGCCATTTGCAGTTTCGTAATTTGAGAACGCAATTTATCTTCCTTTTAGCCAAGGAATTTGATTTGAACTTTTAGCCAAGGAATTTGAAGAAATCAAAAAGTCAAACAACGAAATATCAAATTTGAGCGTGAACAACTTATAAGACTATTTCCTGAAAAAAACATCCGAACCAAATGTCTTCCCCTCGTTTATTGACACTTATCTAAGATACACATCAACAAACATACAAATGATGAAAAAACATGCAGCATCTTAAGTAGACATTAACGTTCCAATCAACAGTCTTGAGTGCTCCTTCTATAGAAGCACTCAAATGCTTGTTGAGAATGGATTTCAATTCCAAATAAAATATTTCCCGAAAAAGCATCTCTTAACAGAATTATTTTTCATTCTAAATTTTTCGATAGAGGTTAATTAATTGCTGCAAATTGAGTCAAACGTAAGCACGATGGAATATTTTCTCACCTGAGTTGTCTACGAAGTTTAACGGCAGAGTCTTTTTCGTCTTCTTTGAGTAAGAGCTCGTCCAACTCCCGCATTATAAACTTCGAATCTGATACTAGCATTTGGTCCAGCTGGAAACAAGAAAAAAATAGCCAGTTGCTTAAGCAAGTAGCAAAATATTCTCTAGGGTTAGGAAAGTTTTTGAGCAGGGGAAGGTATTAAAACTAATTACCGACTGAAAGAAGGTAAAAACCAATATCAGTGAAATCAGTTTGGCAGCACTTGCGATACCAAAAACTTAGCATTGCAAGCTAGCAGAAGGAATGGAGGAAAAGCCACTAAATCGAAAAAAAAAAATGAAAGCCACGAAGTCGAAAAAAATTAAAAACATGTCGATAAGCAATTTTGTGTCGAGTGATGTTAAATTGAGGAAAACGAGTCCATCAAAAAAATTTCCGACGTTAAAGAAGTATTCAGAAACATTTAACAAGCAGAAATTCCACAACAACAAAAAATCAATTTCAGAAACACGGCATTGAGAAAGTACTGAAACATTCAAGCCGATAAAACTAGTTTTTTTTAGCCCGCCCTCCAGAAACACAAAAAGATTAAATCTATTTTCCCTTCTAGTGACGCTAAATTGGGTCACTAAGACAATAAAACATAAGCATAAACATAATTATGGTCATAGCCAGGGGCGGATCTAGGATTTTCTCGGGGGTGGGGGGGGGGAGGGGGTTTCGGATTTTCAAAAATTTTCGAAAAATGTTGACCTTTTTTTAGGTCGACCAAATTGATTTTCCGAGCTCTCCTAAACACTAAAAAGACGCTGTTTTGGCCAAACTTTCTGCGCCGCAGGCAAATTTAAAAAAACAGGTCAAAAATGCCGTTTGTGGAAAATTTGTGCAAAAAAACTAAGGAGTAGCTGCTTCGGCAGGAAAAATTCGTGCAACCCCTTCATTTGATTGAAATTTATGTTTTATATCTAAAAAAAACGGTCAAAATACAAAAACTTGACTTTACAAAATCCGTAAGTTTTTTCTGCTAAAAGCAGGTCATGGCTAATGAAGTCGAGAAGATTCTTAAAACCAGGCTTTCCGAGTGAAAACTTAACGTGAGAATTGGCACGGTAATTTTCGAGTAGGGTAAAAACTTCCAAAAAACGTTCAAAGTTTCGAAATTTTCACTACTTTGAAGATCATAACTTTTTTCTTTAATAAAAAAATGCACAGCAAATTATAAAAGTAATTTCTAAGCACCTGTTATATCGATTAAACCTATTCTATCAGATTTGGCAGGATACTTTTCGAGAAAGGTCCAAAAAACAGTCAATAAATAAGAAAGTTGACAAAACCGAGAATCATAGCTTTTTGTTTTAAAAAATAATGCGCGTAGCCGCTTCTGCAGAAAAAAATCACCCTAACTGTAAACTCGATTGAACCCGAAACCCCAGGTTTGGCAGGGTAGTTCTCAGAAGAAGTTCAAAAAACCGTCAAAAAATTTTGACTTCCGAGGGTCATAGTTTTTGTGTCAAAAAAATTTGAGTTCCGAGGGTCATAGTTTTTGTGTCAAAAAAATTTGAGTTCCGAGGGTCATAGTTTTAGTGTCAAAAAATTTGGGTATAGTCGCGTATGCAAAGGAGCTTCCCGTTAGCCATTTTGTTTTTGAATTAAACCCACAAAATCAGGTTTGCGCAAATTTTCGAGAAAAATAAAAAGATTCAAAAAACGGTAGAAAAATATCAAATATCTGAATATTCCGATGGCCATAACTTTAAGTGAAAAAGTCCGGAAGAAGCCGCTTAAAAAAGCGGCGCTTTTCAAATCCGTTATGTTAATGGAAACCAAAATCTCTGATTTGGCAGGTTAGTTTGAGAAAACGAAGAAATATATCGCTCAAATATTACACCCACAGACTTTTTCGAAGGCAGTAGGCAAAGGGGTAAAGCAAAAAGAAAACTAGAGGATTATACAGGAACACAATTATGCAGACGGTCGTTCTCTGAATAACCCTTTTTTGAAAATCGGTAGAAGAGTTAAAAAAACTGTAAAAGTTATATAAATTTTCCAAAGCGTCTCAAAAAAAATAAAATAAAACAACTCAACCCCATACACTTTCATAATACCTGTTTTTATCAAACAGGAACTCTAGGCAAACATGCCCGAAGTGGAAACAAGGCCGACAATCTTTAAACAGACACCAGTTGAGCCGAAAAACTGATTTTGTAAGAAACTTCAAGTCCCACCTGAAACTACCATATCGTAACTAGTACCCACCAAGTAATTAAATTTGAATTCTCATGAAATTGAGCCAGTCAGCTACATTGGGGTTCAACTGATTTTGTTGAATTAGTTGTTAGTCCGAAAAAGTATACATTCCGATTTGATAACGCTTCCTAATCGCAAGCGTAAAAACGGGGATTGCAAAGAGTTTTATTCAATAATTGGTCCAACTGGTGTCGTTGTTAGAATTTGTCCAAGTGAAAATTTCTAGCTAAATTATAAACATCATTAAATAACTACATAATCAGACAACTTATTAACGGTTTTTCACTAATAAATTGAATATCAATATTCAAAAAGCTTAAAAACGGAACCTTTTAGATGCCAGTCTACCGAATCATTCAACTGATTTTGTTCCACAAGTTATTAATAAAAAAAGCTATATCCCAATTTATTAACACTTACTAATCGCAAGCTTAAAAAAACATTGCACGAGGCGGATGAAAAGTGACTGTACTGCAAAAAGCTGAAGCCTTCTAAATTCTTGCTTTATGACATAAAAGATCAATAACCCATGTGTTTTTGACACTAAGTCCATATAAATAATAAAAAGTCCGAATTTTGTTTACAAACTTCACTAGCGATCATCAAATAAGGGTAAAATAAAAAATAACTAGCGCTTAACACGCACTTACAGCCCTTTGAACAAGTAGAACGTAGAAAAGGCTTCCTAAACTATTCAATCTTTGCTGCTACGAAATCGGAAACTTGAAAAAAATTCAAAAACTTTCAATCATTTGTTTGGTTTCTAGATAGCTATAAAATGATACAGAGTGCTAGATAGTACACTTGATCCCATCGAGTATACTCAAATTGCGAGGGAAAAACATGATCGTAGTTCCTTCCCAGAAATGGGAAAACAGAAGCAAAACTTTCACTTTACTTTTTATGAACCGATATGAACTTCCGTGTACAAACGATGAAGTACGTTTGCTTGTTAATTTTTGCTTAAGTTCGGGTTTAGGTTACTATTCTATGCTGAAAAAAGTCCCAAAGGTGGATACACTAAACGACCCTAAAACTACCCTGTCCCAAAGGTGGATACACTCACCTAAGACATGAAGAAAATCGCGATACCTTTGCGACACTCCAGGACGAAGCATGCCATGATGTTGCAATAGAGCCGAAATTTCAACCGTTGGAAGGCGAAAGCTTTCACAACAGAACAACCACTACAGAAGATGACGCTCGACGTGACATCAAGGCAAATGGACCCTGGGGATGACGATTCATCCAAACCTTTTTCGATGTAAAAATTATCAACCCCCATGCTAAAACCTGCCCTAAAACTATATCTGACGTCCACTAATATCATGAGTGTCAAGACATTAAAATACCAAAAAAGGACTTCTGGATGTGGAACTTAGCAACTTTGTTCACTAATTTTTGCGTGTACCGGAGGAGCAGCACCAGGCTCTACAAAAACCGTCCAGAAACTAGCAGAAGAACTAAGCGAAAAACGGAGCGAATCATACTCGGACAATAATCTTTATAAGAACAAAAACAAGCTTTGCACTTCTGAGGAGTGCAAGCCTCTGCCTTAAGGGGTGCAAAAAACTCAAAAATACATCCAACATAGACAATTCTACATGTGCTAGAACCGAGGAGGGTATTTTTAATTGACAATTTTGATTCATAAAATTTTGCCGGTGTATTTAAATAGCGTTGGTACAGCCCTATCCAACCTGTGCAGGTACCGTCGCATAATTGTCAATTTTATTCATTAAATGTTTCCTATGTATTTTTTATAGCGTTGGTACGGCCCTATCCAACCTGTGCACGTACCGCCGCATGACAAAAAGACCCATTTTAATTGACCCTATTTAAAAAAAAACGAGGTACTGACAGATTTACTCAAGAAGTCACTATCGTTCTAGAAGAAATAATAAAAACCTTGTTCTCTACGGCAATTGATTTACCAACGCTTAATCAAATAACGCGCGAATTTAAAGATTTCCAGAAAAGCGAACCGGAGCTTCGCACTACCTGCAATGCTAAAATGAATGATTATGATAAACAGCAAATGAAATGACAAATAAAAAAACGGAAGAAATTTTATAAAAAATCGTTTTTTTTTGTTAGATTTAAAAATTATTTCTGGAACAAAATTAAATGAATTATTAGAAACATTACGAAATTACAAAGAGCTTTCAAAAGGCAAAAAAAAGAAACCGGCGCTTTCTTCGGGACCTAAAAACCGATCAAAATCAGAAAAGTCTAAAATATTCGAAAACTTTCAGTTTCCACAAAAAACAGGAACCGACAGGAATCGAAGTTCTGTGATTTGTTGTCTCAAGCATGGGTGTTACAACTGCACCAAATGCACAAAGCATTTCTTGAATTTATAAAGAAAGTAACCTTCAATGGAAATTTTCAATGAATAGCATGTAAAAAAAATCAAACAATAGCTAAAAAAAATTGACGAAACTTCTTGGAAGTCATTTTGTTGCCCAAAATCGGAATACATTGAAATGCATTTCCATTTGATTTAAAAATGCCCAAATTTTGGTTAGATTTGGTGCTACGGCAACTAAGCCGACAAAAAAGCAGGCAATTTTCCGCTGAAAAAAATGTGCAATTAATGAGCTATTTTATCTGCACCAAATAGAATAAGAAAGATTTAACCGCTCGAACAACCAAAAACAGCAAAAATTTGAACCAATTTTGAGAAAAGAAAACAAAAAGATATGAAATTTTAAAATTTTTTTCTTTTTTTCAAGTGATTAGAAAGTTATTTAAATTTTTTTTGCGAAATTTCATATTCAAGTAATAAATCACTCATCGCATATTACCTCAAAAAAATTAATCGAAAAAAACAAGGACTATTAACAGGAACCCAAGCCCATAACTAATATGCAACTACTACACACTACACTAACCAGTGCTATTGAAGACAAGACAAATCTTAAATAAAAAATAATGTGCTCTAGTAACAAAACGACTGGAGTTAAAATACGAAAACAAGTGCCTATTTAAAAACAATTTTTTGAAGGATTCCGTGCAGATCTTGGAGACCAAGTAACAAGTTCTTTCACGAGTGGGGGACTGTTACTACCTTCTCGCGGTACGGGTAACATGCCTTGTAAAAAGTGTGACCCATTTTCTTCAATTTTTTGGAGCAAAAGCTTTTCTCTCTGTGATTATATCGTGCAATGTGTGTTCCTCTCTTGAATAGCGTGAAATGTGTGCATTTTTCAGTACCCTGTCGATTTAAGACATACCGGTACCAGATGCATTTCCATAGATCGTGGCACCGTATGTTAACCGGCTGGTGATCCAGGACTCGAAAAAAAGTTGTAAACAGCATGTCTGCATACCGTGCTTTCTAAGCTGACGTAGTAAGTACATTTTCCGGGCGATTTCTTTCCAAATCATTTTCAAATGGATCCGTGGCTTCAAGTCATACTGAAATAGATATCCAAGTAGCTTGGCCGATAATACTTTTTCGTTATTGAACAAGGAGTCGGGTGAGTTTTTCAGGACACCGTTTGAAAAAAAAAGCACAAGATTTCCTTTGTTTTGATCAAATTCAATTTCATCGCGTTTCTCTGGCAACAAGTTTGGCTGTTTTCTACTTCTTCCCGTGAGCAATCTGCATGGCCGGAATACACCGGAACCGTTGAAGTACCGTCGTCGGCATACTTGGATAATCTAACATGGTCGTTTATTGGCTTCAAATCGTCAACGAAAAAAGCATAAAGCAAAGTTCCGCTAACAGTACCTTGTGGAATTCCTCTGTTGGTACTTAGGAAGGTCGTTTTTTGTCCGTTGAAAATAACTCTTTGCTGGCGACCCGCAAGAAAATCTACAAACCTGTTGAAAACGGCTGGTGTCAAGGGCAATTTGGCGATTTTATCGAGCAAAAGGCTGTGTTTTACTAAACCAAACGCTTTGGAAAAATCAACTAGGAACGTCCGCACCTACCTGCACTGTTTTCGGTCTACTTTCTCACGTATGTGGTGCTGTATATTCAGAAGGCAGGTTTCAGTGGAGCTTCCTTTCCTGAATGCGAACTGCGATTTGGAGAGATTGGACACTTTGATAGGTACCAAGTATTTTTGAACAATAATGCACTAACGAACGGACCACAACAGGGGTAACTGATACAGGACGATAGTCACATGTTTTGGGGTTGTTTATCTTCGGAAGCGGTAAAATATTAGCAGATTTCATAAGAATAGGAACTTTTCATTCGATAATCAATCTGTTAAAAATTGTTGCTATTATTGATTTGAAATCGTCAGCATATTCTTTTAAGAACCACAGTGGTAGTCCATCGGGTCCACTAGCCGTTTTCTTCAGCCGTTTCAATGCACGATGCACTTCTGCAGTGGCAATTGGGGCTCATTCAGCTCGCACCTTGTCCAGGCGTTCGTAAGCAGGTTTAACAACTTCTTACACTTTTTGCCACCATTTTTGAGTGCCGTGTGATGATTTTGCTAATTCACTAGCTCTGTTTCTAGCAATTAGATTCCCTTTTCGATCTGAAAGATTGTTGGCATCTCTGAGGCGACTTTGTCTAAAATATCGGGCACGCCGTTTGAGAAGTGTTTTTATCAACCGAGACACATATTGTGGAGCTCTGTCGGACATATTCACTTTTATAACTGGAATATTCTTGTGAATTTCAGCAAGTACATTTACAGTCAATTGTGTATACGCATTGTCTAGATCTTGTTCCAGGACTACTGCCCAATTATTTCCCAGTATTGCTTTCTGGAGAGCTTCCTTGTTTTGACGGCGACGGTCAAGAAAATGATGCATACGTCTGATAGGAGAGACATGGTACAGTTGTGTCGGTTTAGCATAGATAGTTTTGTGGTCACTCTGAACGGTTGAGTTGACCACGTCGACTGAGTAATAACGAGGTCTATTTGTCAACATCACGTCGAACACTCGGTCTCCTCTTGTTGACTCAACGACAACGTTTGTTAACTGAAAATCTTCTACAAAAGTTGAGAGATCCAGTCTGTTTGTATCACCGGTGACGACTAAAATGTAATTGATTCTAATTTCCTCGGTCATAATCATGGTGTTCTGTGATATGTCATTTACGAGATCTTTTTCTTCACAGCCTGGTACAGGAGGGTGATATAACTACACTACCAAGTACGATGTGCGTTTAAACTGGCTGTCGTTTATTTGATACCCAAGATTGTTGAAACTTGGTTTTATGCGCTGAAAAACCCCCAATACCATTTTTAATGTACGTCATGATACCACCACCACCTTTTTGTTCTGTCTCTGCGGAAAATTGTGTATCCTGAGATTTCATAAAAAGTTGATTCGTGCTTGGAGTCTTTCAACCATGATTCTGTCACAGTCACAGTTTGTTTTTGATAATTCTGCACATCTGGCATACAGAATGAACTTCAGACAAAATAAACTTGAATTCAATGGTGAGCGTTCTCGTCTATCAAAAGGAGATACCAATTTCTGGTGTCGTGCACCGCGACTGGTGAACAAACTTCCTGCAGCGATAGATTTCTTCAATCCCATTGGTCTCAAAGGAAGACTTATTAGTTTTCTCTGGTGCTTCTTTAGTGAAAAATACCTTGAGAAAGTTTCGTGCTCCTGGAAGCTAGCTTGTGATTGTACTAAGAACGGTTGCCGTTTTTCTGTAAATTTGTATCTGGGGGAAACCCCTTTGTAATCTTCGTTACATAAATTCCTTTTAATAATAATAATAATAATTACTGAAGGTTTGTGTGCAAATGCTTCTCACCGTAAACAATCAGTTGCATTAAATTTAGCAATTGATCGTGCATTCATTGTTTAAAAAGACAGACGTCCATGTACGCCGGACTCGGTCTGTGAGGTAAGCGATAGTCAGTCTAATTCGACTAACTCTTTCCAGTGATACAGCTTCAAATTGCGGATTTCGAGGTCAACGAGTGAAATGATTACCATTTTGTCCATTCTGTGAACAAAGTTGTTTAAGGAAAAATGTCTATTACCCGATTGCAATACCCCGGCTTATCGCAGGAGTAAAAAGGCGATATTAGTCGGAATACCAACCAAATTTTACAGCGCATTGGTCTTTGTAACCGGGGTAAAAACCAATTCTATTAGTTATGACGAACCGATTTAGACGAATTAACAGTGTCGTGAATCGCATCTGTTGCCAGCTTAATTTCATCTCGTCTGCTCTTCGAGGTCAACGAGTTCAGAATCAACATCATACTGCCCAGTCTTTCGTTGAGAGTAGAAAGTTGTTGCTGTAGAGTTAGAACCACGGGGAACTGAGGCTCCCTGCTTTTGACAATCGAAGACTCTGTTGTCGAGACACTCTTCCGAGTTGACGAGGCGTTATCTGTCTCGCTCATTACAAACCTTAAAGTTTAGCAGTATCGTGACATAGTAAATCAATTTACTGTCTAAATTACATTATCACTTGATAAGTACTACCTCATGAAAAAAAATTACGCGCCAATTCTCATACTTCTCGAACCTGAGAAACTTGAATTCAGTAGTCGGTCACAGTACACCATGTCAAGGAACAATCGGTGGGCAATCAAAAAAGGAAAGTAACCTCATTAAGATGCAGAAAAATGGCAAAATTAATGTCAGTATAAATAGATATATAAAACATACATCTGCAACAGATGTGCTTTAACGCAATTACATTAACTTATGCAAAAAAAATAATTTATCGGATGGCGCAGGGAGATGAATTGAAAGATAGCGTATTTCAGCCACACGTTTGTTTGAGGGGGGATAGCCTGCGACCACTGTACTTATTGATCAATCAATTCTATAAGATTTTGATTTTACTGATTTCGATCCTCTAATACACAAAACTGTACTTTTTAAGAGTGCAAACCTTATGTTTGGTTCTGATGAAGGGGATTGCATCTGCGCAGTAGTCCTCTTTCTTAACGCTTAATTCAGATGCAATTCTTTTTACAACTTTGGTGGCAGAAAGTCCCATTCCATCAGTGCTAGCAACTATAATATTCGCCCGGGAAGTATATGACGACGGAAAACGAGGTTAAACCCTATAACTATGTCTCTACTGCAGCCAATTCAAAGTAATGTGCCATTCCCCCGGATTGACACAGTCGAACCTGCTGCGGCACTAGAGAAACGAAGATAGAGGCTTTAACGATCATTTATTAGTAAAAAAAGAAGGTCAGAACATTCTGGAATTTTTAAATTTCGAAAATTCGATTCTCAGCAGTCCATTTCTGAGAAATACAGAAAAGGGCCATATTTGGCAGAAAACTGACGAAAAAACATAACGCCCGAATTAACAAGTGAAAAACGGTCAAGAAAAAACGGAAGAAAAAACAAAGTCTTATGACATTCGACCAGAATTGACAAAAATGCAACTTCGAATTCATAGCAGCTGACCTGGAAGATTGACTGTTTTAGCAGATTAGCGACGTTATTTAGACGATTAGACGAATCGTGAAGGTCAGAATATTCAAGAAATTTTAAGAATTCGATTTGTGACGTCACACTTCCGAGAAATGATTGAAACGGCAATTTTTGAAGAAAACGAGAAAGAAACAACAACAACGATAGTGCGATAGAATTAACGAAGAGAAAATAACGCGATACAACTGGGAATTATCAGAGACCGTTCCGAGTTGTAACGATTGTGTCGCTACAATCGTTACCGAGCAATTCACGCAAACGGTGAAGGGTGTTGGGACAGTGTTTGTCCAGCCTTCTGGAAAGGAGATAAGAACGTTATTTCCCCAGATTCCAGAATCCGGAGGGGTCTCGGGCGGAGAACTCAAATTATTTTTGTGACATTCGAACAGAATGGACAAAATACAGATTCAGCAGATTCGGAATTTTAGCAGCGAACCTTCCGAATTCGCGATTTTGAAGGAAAAAGAGCGTTATTGGAACGATTGGTCAAACGGTGAAGGCTAGAATATTCCGGTGTTTCAAATTTTTAAAATTTCGAAGTATGACGTCATATTTCTGAGAAACGTCAGAAACGGCCATTTTGGCAGAAAATTGGAAGAAAAACACAACAACCTTAGTTGCGATAGCGAAAACAACAAAAATTGAGGTTGAAAAACAACAACGAATTGCAGAAATAGCAGAGACCGCTCCGAGTTGCAACTATTGTGTCGCTACAATAGTTGCAAGGCCGTTGCGAACAACGGTGAAGGGTGGAAAACCAGCCTTCCTGAAGGAGAATAAGAGCCTTATTTCCCCGGATTCAGGAATCCGGAGGGGTCTCGGGACTGGAACTTTTATCAACTTATATAAATTTTTAGCTTCCCTATTCTGTCCTGAATTGAATTAAATTAACATCTGAACTCATTCTACTAAGATGAGAAGCTAAGAGTTGGGGGGAAAGGGTTGATCCATCTTCGATGGAGATGATGATTTTTATCTACTGAAGAAAAACAATAATAATTCAATAAATAGTAGTAGCCCCGAGTTTAGGAGTGACCTCGTGGTCTGAGGATACTGAGACCCAGCCATGAGCTCACTATTTCTGCATGTAATTAAGTTAATTTGAGTGTTTTGACCGAAGCCGAAAGGAGTAACGTTTTTTGTCGACCCGATGTTAGAAAGACCACCGAAAGTACTGGCTTGGTAGAGACGGTTAAAAACATGTAAAGCTCTGTTTAAACGTTAGCCAGTCGCCTTAGGACTTAGTTTTATTTTCCGTTGATATGTATCTTCCGGGCCAATGTTACATAGATGTTTTATGGCGCTCCTGGGTGTTATTCTTTTTTAACATCATGACCGGCAGAACCGTTAACGAGCACTCCGCGCCGAGCGGATGCTCACATTAACGCCCTTAATAGGCCAAAACCGCTGGGGCGGAAGGGTAGTTCGGAACGCGGAAGCCTTCCGAATTACCGTGAATAGCTTTTTAACCTAGTTAATACCGAAAATTCACGAATCAGGAAGGGTGGGGGGATCGGCCGTCCCCTCGTTCCCTGAGAGTATTGTGACCAAAAACACTGAAAGATATACATAAAACCAAACAAAAAGTAGTATAGTACCCAAGAAAAACAAAAAAACATAAAAAATAACCGAAAAAACCAAAAACAGTAAAAAAGTAAAAAATCAGTAGAAATCATCCCCCCAGACAAGATGTGATCTGACCCTCCCGTTTGTTGTTGATAGATATATTGTTGTTACAGGCATTTATATCAGTCAGGTTCGTTACGATCAATTTTGTGGCCTGTTTGTGAGGCTTGTACTGTAGGGTTATTTGAGAATTTAATCACGTTAATGCTAACTTGCGCTCAATCCGGAAGGGTCTCGGGATTAGTGAAGAAGACTGATCCGGCAAGCAGTTCAAGGAGCGGCAAGAAAGGGCACAAGGACAACAACAATCGACTTTTGGGTATCGTTAACACGTTTTGTATCCCTTTTCGTACAAAAAGTAAGATACTTCCCTGTTGGGGGCTCGACAGTGACTGCACTGTAGTGACCTTTCACCGAACTACGAATTTCCGAGTTATGCACATTCCAGTTTACAGAGGAATCGAACTTAACTTGTTTGATTCAGTGGACTCATCAATCCGGAGGGGTCCAAATAGCATGGTTTTTGGCAAGTTTTTCCAGCTGGAACGTTTTAGATTGGGTTTTTTTGCATTGCACTAGAAAAGTATAGGCCTTTTGAGCTCGGATCAATAATTTTTAGGTCGAAAAGAACAGAACTGCGAAAAAAGTTAGGCGGAACCTGTAAGAGAGAAAATTTGTGTTAATAACTTTTGTTAATAATTTTGGTTAATAACTTTGGACCTACTGGACAGATCCAGTTGATCTTGGTACCCAGTTGATCTTGTTAATAACGTTTTCGTTAATAACTTTGGACCTACTGGACAGATCCAGTTGATCTTGGTACCATTATATCGGCAATTAGGTGAGCTTACTCATATAATCATCAATTATTTAAATAAGTAAGCGTGAAATTTTTTGTAATATTGTTTTTAGCAAATTCACTAATTCGGGAAGGTAGACCCTTCACGTTTCATAAAATTTTTCTTGGAAAGCCCTTACACCCCTACCAATCTAAGGCGATTTTACAATGTTCTAGACGAAAAGGGAAGGCTAAGGGAACTAGAAGACCATAGTCGAGTCGAAACTGAGCTAGTAATAAGACCCTTCACAGTTAAGGTGAATTGTCAAATAAGAGGCTTAGCTTCAATCCGGAAGGGTCTAGGAAAAGAAAATAAACCCTTAATAGTAAGTAAGAATAGCATAAGAGCATCGGAGAACGTATCCGGAAGAGTATCGGGTGAAAGTTTTGAAAGTCTCTAGAGAGTTATTTTTATAAACCCGGAGGGGTCCCAATCCGGAGGGGTCCCAATTTTGCCAATCCGGAAGGGTCCCAATTTTGCCGGAGGGGTCTTGTTTTTGGCAATCAGGAGGAGTCCTGTTTTGCCAATCCGGAGGGGTCATAATTTTGCCAATCCGGAGGGGTCCTAATTTTGCCAATCCGGAGGGGCCCTGTTTTTGCCAATCCGGAGTGGTCCTAATTTTTCCAATCCGGAGGGGTCCTGTTTTTGCCAATCCGGAGGGGTCTTGTTTTTGCCAATCCTTTGTTAAGACTTAAGTAGATAGCAGAAAAGAAAATAGTGAAAGGTAATAGGTTATTAAGAGACAGGCTAGGAACCAGTGACTGCACTGGTAACTTGCCCTTTATAAAAGAGGAGACCAAATTAAGACAGGTCTAAACTCGGATATTCGCGACATTAAGTCTAAATTGAAAAAGAGTCTCTAACTGATTTGTGTGGTTTGAAATCCAAATCGTTTTTGGGAAAGTGATTGCCCTAGGATTTTTGTAATCCGAAGGCAGATAGGTAACACAGGACTCGGTGAGTGCAATAGACGCCCACTTGAGAAAATTACTGCCTTCAAGTTTTGTCTGTTTGGTCGAACAGGGAAAGCTCTTTATTTAATAAAAAGTTCGACTATCATATTGCGACTGACAAAAATACAAAACACATACGTTTTTCATTGAAAATAATCTCATTTTTCTTCATTTTTGGTTTTAATTGAATAATATTTAGGCTTGATTGGGTAGTGAGTACACTATCTTTTAAATATATTGCTATCATCAGACTGTGCTAGCTTCATATCTTGCAACTAATAAACGATTATTGTGAATAAACTGTGTACACGCTGTACTGTGATAACATACAAGGATTCGTGGTCACTGTTTAAGTGAAACTTTTGGAATTTTTTGTTTTGTGTTATTATTATCAGTAGTAAGACTAAAAGGACACTAGCAATTGAATTGAGTGTATAGGCAGTAAGTGGTAAATTGGAAATCAGTCTAGACAAGTCTTGGACACCTAAACTAGGTGATAGCTCCAGGAATTTCATACCTGAGAAACAGAGA